TTTTTGAATGGCGTTTCTCGCACGTGATGGTCGCGCAGATGGCCACGTGGTTTGCGTTCCTTGACAAGCGCATTGGCGAGAACACCGGCGACTGGGCCGTTGGCGAGACGTTCACGCTGGCTGACCTGAGCATCATGATCCTCTGCGATGTAAGTTTGTCGCACATTCATTTATCGCGGCATGCAGTGCAATTGCGGGGCTGTGTTGTGGTTTGGGTAGCAAAGCTTGGCAATACCAAAACACATACACATACACACACACATACACATACACATAAGCATACATACACATACACATACACATATACATACACATGCACATACACATACACACATACACATACGCATACACATACACATATACCATTCACATGGGAGCGCCCCCCCCCCCACACCAAAATCGGACTCACCCCATGCATTTCTTCTTCTCGCGGTTGTGCAGTTCCTCAAGTCTGGTTTCATTGACTACATCAACGTCAACTTCCACGAGGACTACCCCAACGTCAAGGCACTGTACGAGAGCGTCAAGGCATACGAGCCGGTACGTCCATCCATACAACTGGCAAATGCCATGTAACGAGCAAGCCAATTGCCGACGCCGGATTGCACGTGGCCTCCGTGTCGACAAACTTACCTGCAGCTCGGACTCACACTCGCATGCACACACACACACACATACTCACACACACACACACACACACACACACCTATTCACACACATACAACACACACCCCTACTCACTCACTCACACACATGCAACACACACACACACACTCTCTCTCTCCCTCTCTCCCTCTCTCTCCAACCAACCAGGTTGCCAAGTACTATGCCAGCCAGCAGAAGAAGTAGGCTCCTAGCTAGAAGGACAATGGTGTCACCAGCCTAGTTGGGTCAGCAAGCGCCAGTGGCTGACAGCGCCGGTACTGTGCTAGTGCATCCATGTCATCTATTCTTTCTGCACAGTACAACTTTTGTCCAGCAATCGAGCTATCGCGGAGGTGGGTTGGTAGTGCGAGGGTAGAGCAGGCGGACACTGAGAAGTGGTGAGCATGCTTCCAGACGCAAGGACACACAGAGAGACAGAACGAAAGAAGACGCAGAAAGGGAAGAAGTCGGCGAGCAGTCAGGCCATGATGACTCCTTGACTTAACAAGAAACTCGCTGCAGAACATCGAGCCTTCGATTGAGCGGCAGAGCCAAACACAAACAGTGCGGTTGATGACGATTAGCAAAATCATTAATGAATATTCGTGGCTAACGACGACGACCCAACGCAAATCACGACGAGGAGCAAGGAGGCTACGCTTGCTTGCGTGCTTGTGTGCGTGCTCGTGTGTGTGTGTGCGTGCTTGTGTCTGTGTGCGTGCTCGTGCGCAAGGTGGAAGCTGGAAGCTTTCGTTCTTGTCGGTGTGCTCCTTTTGCCGCACGCACCGCGGACCATGGATGACCACATCAACGACTCAGAGGAGGTCCTGCTGGAGGGACCCCTCATGCGACCAACAGAGCAATCAAGGTTGGTGTGTGCGTGTGCACAAAGGCCAGGGAGGATAGGTGGCCACAGTCCCAGCTTTTGGCCTCTGGCAGAACGCACTTGCCCCCCCCCCACACACATGCACATGCACACGCACACACTCTCTTCCCCTCGCTTGCTCCTGTCACACACACTCTCTCACACACGTACACACGCACTCTCTCACGCACGCTCTTGTGCTGTGTGTACGTAGGTCCCGGGTTGCCAGTGCGAGGGTATCAAGACGAGCGCGCTCAGCTGCCGCGCGCCGTGCTTCTTTGCTTGCCCACGAAACACAACAGGCACAGGAAGAACTGTAAGGCCTCTCCTCGCTCACCAAATATTGCGGCGGGCACCCGGCGTTTGAAGAGACTCTGAACTGCGCTGCTTCTGCCCCCGTTGTTGTGTAGTTTTCTCACGGCACACACTCGCCCGCACACACACACACACACACACACACACACACGCACACACACACACACACACACACACACACACACACACACACTCATTCACACACGCACCAATAGCGCACAGCGAATTTCCCGCAAGTCAGTCCAGCAGTCGCGCGTCAACGCCAGGGTAGGCAGCATGGGCGAGCCTGTCCGTCCAGTTGCACACTGCAGTTGCACCCAGCAGAATGCTTCTGCTACCCCCCTCCCCGCTCGCTTAACACTGTGATCACCACCACCTCACACCCCTGCCTATACCCCATGCTGTCCTGTTTTGCCCCACAGGTGGAAGAAGAGTGGAACGTGTCAACCATGGAGGAGCTGAAGGTGTGTTGTGTTGTGTTGCATCGCGCTGCGCTGTTCTGCCTTTGGGTCTTGCATCTGGCATCGTAAGTGCATGTTCCAGCACTGCCACAAAGAGCACCTCATGCCTTATTGTGTGTGTGTGTGCGTGTCGGCGTCGTGTTGCATGCACTCTCTGCTCCCACCGCAACTCCCAGGCCGCGTTCTTCTCGACAACGGATGGTGCGCTGCATGCGTGTGTTTGTGTGCCGCTGCATGTGCGATTATGCGTACTGTGGTCAACACGCAAGAGGCAGCAGCTCACATGTCGGACTCTGTATTGTCTTGTCCTGCACGTTTACAGGTGTGCTCAACAGCGAAGAGTTCATCGCATCGCTTCGCGACTACACAAAGGTCAACTACAAAGCGCGCGCACACATATGCATGCGTGTGCATTCACACATGCACGTACACCTTGACAGCTCATGTCGTTTGCATGGACATTGTGCACATCCACCACCCCGCTTGGTCACTCACTGCCGTTTGCGTGACTGCAATGGGAACTGAACAGGCGAAAGGCGCCAAGTCGTATCTCCATGATCTCTTTGACAAGATTGACGGCGCAAACCAGGGCGCCATCACATGGGTACGCGTGAATGGTGGTGGTGGTGGTGGTGGTGGTGGTGTGGCCGTGAGTGTCTGGCGTGCGGGTGAGCCACTGCGAGTGTGAACCAAAATCTGTGTGAGACACAACCGTCACACGCACGCACACCCTCGCATGGACGCGAATGTAGGACGAGTTTGCAACATACATGCTGCTGGAATATCAGAAGAAGTCAGACACCTATACGCGATCAAAGAAGGTAAACACCACACGCAACTGTCCACCCCCCGCAACGACCCAACTTCGCCGCGACGTGTCCGACACACAGACACGCACGCACAAATTTTCACACACACCACACACACTCGCACTCACCTCTGCTTTGTGTGATCGATCAGGTGGTGCTGGACATGCCTGCCAGGGCCGGGCAGTACGCTGTACGCTCACCGTGCTGTGCCCTGCGCCTCAACAACGCCAGCCAGTTCATCATGCTCCAGGACAACGGTACCGTTTGCGCATTGCATGACTTGCTGCAATTCGCAGGCCCTCGTGTGTGCTGTGTGGGGGTGTAGTTGAACCGTGTCGCAAACGCGCTGTGCGTATGCGCGCGTGCACGTGCATGTGTGGTGGTGGTTGTTTAAGTTGTTTAAGTTGTTGTTGTTTAAGTTGTTGTTGTTTAAGTTGTTTAAGTTGTTGTTGTTTAAGTTGTTGTTGTTTAAGTTGTTGTTGTTGTTTAAGTTGTTGTTGTTGTTTAAGTTGTTGTCGTTGTTGTTGTTGTTGTTGTCGTTGTTGTTGTTGTTGTTTAAGTTGTTGTTGTTGATGTTGTGGGCAGCAGCTTTTCATGATCTCTCACATCCCTGTTGATGAAATGTACACGATTCGTTTGCGTCATCTTCTGCAGGAATGCTGAGCTTCTGGGGACCAGACTGCTCGCGCATCAAATCGGTATGTGTGCGGCTGTGCATGTGCATGTGTAAGCACGAAGTGATGTCGTGTGCATGGTGCTTTCAACTCCGACCCAAGTATCGCGACACCAACCAACGAACCGACCAACCAACCAACCAACCAACCAACCAACCAACCAACCGACCAACCAACCAACCAACCAACCAACCAACGAACCAACCAACCGACCAACCAACCGACCAACCAACCAACCAACCAACCAACCAACCAACCAACCAACCAACCGACCAACCAACCAACCAACCAACCAACCAACCACTGACAAAAATTTGGGTTTGCTTCTTCGTCATCACTATTGTCATGATCCTCACCGCGACGCCAACACCTTGGTTGACTGCCGCAGCACCAACTGGACATGGAGTCGAAGCGGAAAACAAAGTCCGCCTGGTGCACAGACGCGTGCATCCTCGACAAGCTTGGCCTGGTGAGCAACGTGGCTTCTGTGAGGTGCAGTGCCGTTTGGGTACTGTGGCCGAAACAGCAGCATCTTTCAGAGCTGGACTCAGCGGTATTGCCGTTGATGTGCACGCACGTGTGCCACGAACGGCATTCTCGCCCCCTCCACTCCCCTGTTTTTCTTGACTTCCTCCACGCCTCACTCATTGCCCCACCGTGTTTCGTCACAACACGGCCACTGTTCTTTCTCGTCATTTGCGTCACTGCAGCTCGTTGTTGCATCTGGCGAGCGAGAGCTCTGGTTCTTCAACTTCAGCACCATGGAAGCCATCTTCGTGGTGCGTATGCACGCCGAGTCATTTCATGTGAACGTGTGTCTGTATGCCTTTATATCTTTAATCCTGTGATCTTGTTTTTGCCCGTGTGTCCGTGTACTTGCATGCATGTGTACCCAGACCCCCCCCCCACCGTCTTGTCTTGTTTCTCACGAACCGCCGTCACTCCGCCACGACCTTGCACCCCATGCTTTCATCCTGCTCATCGCCTCCACAGCTGACGCATCTCGACGACACCCCGCTGTGTCTTGACACGACGTATCTGCGCCACGACCACACCACCGTCCTTCTTGTCGGCGACCATCAGGTGCGCCGGCCTTCACAACATCAGACGATGTCAATAGCGTTAACACCACACACACAGAAGCGCCTCACTTCACGCACGAGTACTTGCGGCCGCTGCGATCACCACCACCATCACCACCATCATCACCACCATCATCACCACCATCCCCCCCCCCCTATCTGACTCATAGCGTGTGTGCATTGTTTCCCCTCTGCTCGCGGCGACCAGGGCTGCTTGGTGGCGATTCACATGCCCGACGGTTTCCTGGAGGCGGAGCAGTTCAAGAACAGTCTCAGGTACCCCTCATGAACACACACACACACACACGCACACATACACGCACACATACACGCACACACACAACTCATACACAGACACAGATACACAGCCAGCCAGCACAACAACAGCCACACGAGACCCCTGTATGTACCCTGTACGCCCGTGTAGTATTCACACGTGTCTCACCCAACGTTGCGCGTGTGTCTCAGCCGGCGAAAACTGTATGGGGAAACGATGCGGGTGTCGATGGACGCTGTGAAAGTTGCGCGACCCTCCTACGGAAACATGTTTTACACGCGCTGGCTCGTGCACAACGATTGGGTACGTGTGCTGCAACACCAGTGAAGTGCTGACCGCATGCCTGCCTTTGCTGTTGTGCTGCTGCTGTGATGGTCCTGTGATGGTAATGGTGATGGTAACATCTCTGAACTTGTTACATTCCGTGATTGCCTTTTTTTTTTTGACTGTGTACGTGTCGTGTCGGCTTGTGTGTTTTACAGGTGTCGCAGATCATGTATTGCGAGCAGCTGCGCATGATCATCTCATCGTGCAATGACGAGGAAACGGGATTGGTGTGTTTGTGAATGTGTTACCACCTCGTGGGGGGGGGGAGAGGGGGAGAGAGCCAGAGAGAGAGGGAGAGAGACAGACAGAGAGACAGACAGACAGACAGATAGATAGATAGACACACACACACACGCACGCACACATACGTGTACACATACACACATGGGTGTGGGTGTGGTGTTGTGGGAGAGTGCGAGTGACACCAGCGGTTGTGCTCTGTGCTCACAGCTTGGGGGTTTCAATTCGCCTGTCCATGGCAGGTTGTTGGGGAGATTTTACAGCCCGCGCTGCAGGAGCCGAGGTCGTACAGGATCGACCCGCAAGGTTCATGCACACACACACACACACACACACACACACACACACACACACACACACACACACACACACACACACACACACACACACACACACACACACACGGACAAACCACCACCCCACCACCGCCTCTTCCTCCTCTTGCTCACGCTGCGCCGCTGCTGCTTGCGTGGTGTTCAGGTCCGAGTTCGCAGTATTTCCACCACGGCACCGGTCTCCGCCGCAACCAGGCGCAGACGGTGTTTCGGGTGCGCAAGGGCGTGCGTACCCTCGCATATGTTCCAAAGGGGAATCTCATTGCAACCGGCGGGCTCGACCGCGCAATCTGGGTACGACGCGCATTTCAAACTGACGCACACACACACACACACACACACACACACACACACACACACACACACACACACACACACACACATGGAAGCACGCGCGCGCACACACATGGAAGCACGCGCGCGCGCACACACACACACACACACAACCCATATCACAACACCAAAGGCGCATGTACGGGCCGCAAGTCGACACACCGTTCTTGGCGTGTTCACTCACAACCCCACGTGGATTCTGTTTGTGTGGCAGCTGTGGAATCCCTACGTCACTTTTCAGGCGGCAGGCGTGCTGCGCGGACACACAGGTGTGGCGACAAACCACCATCAGTGTCACACGCATTTGATGTGATGTGAATTGCATGCATCGTCACAACTGAAAAGCACCCACATGCGCGCGCACACACACGCGTACATATGGCCTCGCCTACCCTTCTCTTGTTGACCGTGAGTTTGTTGTGCAACTGTTTCACCCACTCCGCCCAACCTCGGCATTGGGCATTTCCAGCTCCCATCCACCACATATGCGTGAGCACAACTGGGGACTGTCGTCTCTACAGCCTCTCCGTCGACTACCAACTCCTGGTGCGTGCTGTGGCGCGCGTGTCGTGCTGTTTGCTTGGTTGTCCGCGTTTCCCGTTGCTTGTGCTGTTTGTTTGGGCTTGGCTGCCGCACTTGGCTGTATTCTCTCTGGCCACACCTGCCCTCACCCATCTCGACTGTATGTGCGCATGTTTTGTGTGTGCGCATGTATGCATGTGTGTGCGTGTTTGTGTTTGTGTTTGTGTGGACATGGCTGCTACTGCCAGGTGTGGGATCCCACCGACATGACGTGTCTCGCCAGCATTTCGCGTCGCCGTCACAAAATGACCGGCGATCCGACTGGTAGTGCAAGAGGGCACACCCACACCCACATACACACACATACACACACCCACATACACACACATACACACACATACACACACCCACATACACACACATACACACACCCACATGCATACATACACACAATCGCGTACATGGAGGTGATGTGTTTGCTCCCTCTCGCAGTCATCTCAGTTGTGCTGTTACAATTTCCTCACGCTGCATCCTGCCACGTGTTGATTCCACTTTCACCTTTGGTGTGCAGCCATGTTCTACTTCCCTGCTGCAACATCCCTCATCGTGCCAGCAGAGCACGTCTACTCCATACACATTCGAAACGGGTGCGTTCCACACACACACACACACACACACACACACACACACACACACACACACACACACACACACACACACACACACACACACACACACACACAAACAAACAAACAAACAATAGCGTGTTTTGGGGCTCGCGTGCGCATCACATTGCGCCCTCATGTGTTTCATGTGCTTGTATGTTTGCGCGTGTGTGCTGGGTTTTGGTATGTGAATGCAGGCACCGGCGCAAGGATGAGATTGTGTCGCATCAGAGCCCGCTTGTTGCGGCCGTGTTCAACGCACGCTTCCGCCACCTCGTCACCTGCTCTCGTGACGGCACCATCAAGGTCTGCATGGACTGTCAGCTGTATGCCTGCCATGTAAGCGAGCATGTGCAAGAAAGACGTGGCTCACATAATCGCTGTTCATCATTTCAGGTGTGGACAATCGAGGGCGACCAGGTCTTCGAGTTCTCCGTCTGTGACGGTGCGTACGCATACACGCATGCATGCAGAAGCTCCCACGCTGTTGTCGTTGGTCGATGTGCTGACTGACTGTCTGTGCTCGTCAAATTGCGTCTTCTATGTCCAAGTTTGCTGCCGCCAGTCTGTCGCGATGTTGGAGAGGGCCCGCAGCCACCACCAATCCGCTCACAACTGATTGCTTGTTGCCACTCAACAGAAGGGGAAGCCATTGATCCCGGCAAAGCGCTCACCGCCGTCACCTTCGACTCCTCCATGCGAAGGTCTGCTGTTGTTTTTGCTGTTTGCTTGCTTGTGGTGAGGACATGGCTGTACATGTTCGCGCGTGTGTTGCAACATCATGTAGTGTTCCTCCCGCAACCTTGGGATGTCCTCGTCCCACACTCATGACCACGACTCGCCCACTCGCCCTTGCTTCAGGCTCATCACTGCCCAAGTTAGTGGAGAAATCAAAGCGTGGAATTACGGCAACGGGCAATTGTTGCGTCACTTCAACAAAGTGAGCACACTGGACATTGTGTCTGCATGCACACGCGCGTCTTTGCCCTGATGCAGCCGCTTGTTCTCCTGTGGCTCACAGCACGCACACGCTTCATTTGCTCTCGTGACTTTGGTGGTTGTTACTGAAGGGAACCGACAAAGAAGTCACCAGCGTCGTCTACTTGGAACACGGCATGCTTCGGTGCACAATGACACACACACACACAAGCTCACACGTGTACATCTGATTGCCTCCGCTCGTTGAGTACCAACCTGCACTCGCAAAACGCATGCTGCCACGACGCACCAACCCCTTCTCATCTCTGTGCATCATCATCGCTCATGCGCGCGCGTGTGCTGATTAGGCGGATTGCGGCGACGGGCTGGGACCGTCGAATCTTCATGTTCAAGGATCTGCCGGAGGACGATTTGCACATGGCGCCCGTGCACCCGCTCCCGTCGCGATCAAAGGTCTCGGCTCGCTCATGCACACATACACACACATACACACGCACGCACGCACGCGCACACCCTGCATGTTTTGTTTGGAACTGCAGTTTACATTAGTTGACGTTAGTTGACATTCTGCTGAACATTTTCATCCATCAACTGCCGATTCATCAGGTGCAACACCACTCCGATGATGTGCAAGCACTCTGCTTCTGTCCGCCCAACACGCTGGCAACGTCGAGTTACGATGGCGAGGTGTGATGCCGCTGTGCATGCGTGTGTGTGTGTGTGTGTGTGTGTGTGTGTGTGTGTGTGTGTGTGTGTGTGTGTGTTTGATGTCAGTTCCCTGACCTTGACGATGCTCTGCATGGGACTTTGTCCATGATCTCAACGTGGTGAGCAAGTGGCTGTTTCTCGTATCGTCATGCCATTCTCCGCCCTCACGGCACACACACCCCAGGTAAAAGCGTGGAATGTGACGTCGATGAGTGTGACGGCGACAATGACGATACCGCCGCCAGAACCGCCGCGCCGCCGCAGTCAGCGCCGGCTCACATCCAGCAGTCCTCGCGTCGAGGAGATGGTGCGTTGACAGCGCGCACACACACACAGCCAACACACACACACACACACAGCCAACACACACATATGCACATGCATACCGCCCGTGTGGCTGTGACTATCACGTACTTGTTTATGTCGTCTGTTTCCGTTGCTCACGTCGTGTGTCGGCACACCTTCCCCTTACCAACTTTGCCGCTCTGTGCAGATGCAAGAACGCAACCTACCCCACCTGCTCTGTTTGGAGACGCGCGCAACGGCTGCTGATGTCGGCACGCTTGTCACCTGCGGCGGTTGTGGCAGCATCTACTTCTTCACCCTCGCCCATGGCGGCAGGCTCGTTGCCTGGTTCTCCGTGGTCAGTCAGCTCGTGTGCATGTGTGCTTGTGTGTGCAGGTGTGTGCAGGTGTGTGTGCATATGTGTGCGTGTATGTGTGTGTGTGTGGATCTCTATGTGCTCTCGTGCGTGGGGGAGGCGTGCGTGCTTGTGGGCGTGCGTGCTTGTGTGTTCCTTCATCGTTCATGACATCTGTGATTGTGTTTTTCGCATTCGTGCTTACATCGCCATCACTACCACCGTGTACGCACACATACACTGCTACTTTGGTGTTGCAGGATTCGGACAAGGACGTGACCATCACGCGTGTCAAGGCCACCAAGTGCAACCGCTTTCTCATCGCAGCAGACAGCCACGGTGCGTGATTGTACCGTGTATGCGCGTGCAGTGCCTATGTTGCCTGTTTGTTTGTGAGTATGCCTGTGTGATCACTTGGTGCTGGTGTGCAGTTTTCACCTGCGTTTTCACGCGTGTGTCGCTCATCGCCACGCTCACCTGCTCCACTGCATGTGTTGCTCGACAGGGTTTGTGCGTGTGTTTGACATTTCGCGGTACGCAAACGGGGGTGTGCAGACGCTCGTTGAGGACGATGCAGAGGACATGCAGGCAATTCCCGAGGAGGAGGGCCCCAGCATCAGCCGGAGGGCGAGCGAGGACGTCGGTCTCTCTGCATCCACGTCGTCCACAATCACAATCACCCGCGAGCCAGCAACAGCGTGGCCTGCCAGGGACAAGGACAGCAGCAGCCCTGGCGTGTCGCCGCCACACACGCGCTCGCCAACAAACAACCTCCTCCAGCCCGGTGACGCGGCCGTGACAGAGGCAGCAAGGACAGCGCGTGCTAATGCCCGCCGGCAGGTCACACGCACCCTGACGCGCAACAATTCCGTGATTGTTCCACCCACTTTTTCACGCGACGACTTTCTTCCGAGGGATGCAGGACCTCCGCTCGTTGCCATGTGGCGCGCGCACTTGGACGCCGTCACAGGCCTCGGTGCGCTGGGCTGTATTGTGGTGTATTGTGATGCGGTGTGGTGTATTCGGGTATGTTGGGGTGTGTTGTGGTGTGTTGGAAGTGACGTCAGCTTTGCGGTTGTGCAGCGTGCGGTTCGCTGGTGCGTTTGCCGTGGTGGTCGGTGTGCTCACGCTATCCTGATTGTTGTTGGTGTTTGAATTGCATTTCACCCATACGCCTGCCTGCAGAGCTGATTGAGGACTCGAGTTTGATTGGGGGCGACGCACAAGGGTGCGAACACATCTCTTGCCGACATGCGGGATTGGATTGCATGCGTGTGTGAGTGTTGCATCATTGGTCTGATTTGGTGCTCCCATATCGACACCGTGCCGCTCACACGCACACACACGCACACACGCACACACACCCACACATGCACACATGTGTTCCCTGTGCTGCTTGCTGTCGATAGGGTGATCATCTCCACGTCCAAGGACCAACGCTGCCGTGCGTGGGGATTCGGTGGCGAATTTATCGGCACGTTTGGTCAGGACTTCACATGGGACCTCCTGTCAAGGGACACCTGGGAGGTGCGTCGCCTCTCCTGTCTGTCTTGCCTGTCTTGCCTGTCTTGCCTGTCTTGCCTGTCTTGCCTGTCTTGCCTGTCTTGCCTGTCTTGCTTGTTTTGCCTGGTTCTGCTCTGTGCGCGGCCGTTCGCTCCTCTTTCACTTGTGTTCTCTGCGCAACTGTCCGTGCCCGAATCTTGCAAGCACACGCACCTCCGACACGCTCACAAGCGCTTACATACGCGCACCCACGCTCACACCCACGCTCGCATTCGTGTGCAGCATCCTGAGCGCCCTCCTGAGATTGTCAAGTACGAGGAGACGGAACTGAAGAAGAAAAGGGAGGAGGAGGCGCTGAAGAAGGAAATGGCCGAGCTTGGCATCTACGATGACGAGGATTCTGACAACGACAGCGGCGATGATGACGATCTCCGTGCACAGACGCCCTACGATACCCGCCTGAAGTTTGGCCTGGGCTCCACACGCGCCACCTCGCGCCGTCGCTCTGTTGCCCAGCAGCGGCAGGCAAGTCACAGCCGGTCCCGTGGCGTGTCGGCACAGGGCCGTGCGTCTTCGTCGGCGCGAACACTCACGCGGGCAACGACGGGGACAGCGCTGCAACAGCGGTTATCGGAGGTGAGGGCAGGCCCGCGGCTGGAGCGACAGACGTCAGACAGCATCTTCGATCTCCGGAACACCCCAAACCAGTCGTGGATGCCCATGGTGAGAGCGTGCGTGTGTATGGAAAAATAACGGGGTTTTTGTGTGCATGTATGTTTGTTTGTATGTATGTATGTATGTATGTATGTATGTATGTATGTATGTATGTATGTATGTTTGTATGGTTGCATGTTTGTATGTGTGTATGTGTTAAGTTATGTGTGCTGTTCTCTTGCGCCGTTTGGGAGCCACATTTCTCACGTTGTGGTGTCATTTCCTTGTGCTACCTTGTCAGCAACCACCAAAGAGGGATGGAGGTCGACGCCAGCAATCGCACGTTGTCAAGGGGTGCGTCTGTTTGTTTGTTTGTTTGTTTGTGTGTGTGTGTGTGTGTGTGTGTGTGTGTGTGTGTCGAATGTGCGTCAGCGAGAGCTGCAGCGGCGAATCTGTGCTCATTTGTGTGCATGTATGTCATTTCGCTTTGTGGCCCTGTCTCCTTCTCCTCATCTCCCCAGCTCACACACACGCACACGTCTTCGTTGTGCACTGCCGCTGCGCTATTGTGATGTCTGCTTCAGGCGGGCGCGAAAACAGTCCATGCAACGCTCTCTTGCCCGTGAATCCTCCGCCGTCGCCTTTCAGAGGTGCGTATGCGCGTGTGTGTGTGTCTGTGTGTGTCTGTGTGTGTCTGTGTGTGTCTGTGTGTGTCTGTGTGGGTGTTTGGTGTTTACTGCTCATACTCATACTCCTCCCTCCACCCCATCTCACCCCCCTCTTGGCGTTGATTGTTTTCTTTGTCCCTTCGCGTGCGCCCGTAGGTTGGCTGGGCGGCCCAGCGGGAACTGGGAGCGCCACATCCGCTCACTGCCGCACCGGCTGCCCTCCCGCCAGGTGTACCTGTGCCTGCCGTATCACGGCCTGAACAAAGTGAACGCGCCGGAGAAGCCCCAGTACCAGGATGACACCTCTTTCCTTGTGGAGCAGATGAAGCGATAACTCGCTGCTCGTCTTTGTTTGCCTCTTCCTCCTCTCGGATGTGCTTCTTCCTGCCTTCTTTTCTTCCGTCATATCCCATGCATTTCGCCGGGGGTTTTTTTCTTCGTTTTGACCCATTCAAGCTGCATGCTGTGCGTTAGCTGCTCTCGCTTGAGACTCTGGACTGACATTAACGAATGTGACATTTTGACTGCACCAAGCTGTTGCTTTCGCTGAAGTACTCGACTGCCTTTCGTTTGGCCCTTCACAGGTAGTGAACCCAATCAACCCCTCCATCTTGCATGATGCTTTCCCTTAGCTATGTTGTTGTTGTTGTTGTTGTTGTTGTTGGTGCTGGTGGTGGTGCTGGTGATGATGTTCTGGTTTGCTGTTGTGTGCATGCCATTTCACGCCAATAGACCACCTCAAACCGATGCACGCCATCTCGTGTTTCTTTCCGCTTTCGTTTCGTTGTACACGGAGCGAGGACCAAAAAGCAAGCTTCAAAGCATGATGAGTGCAGAATGTAGATGTAATCAGGACATGCCATTGTCAGTTATTGTGCAGGATTGACTAGGACGGCCGCGCAGGCTCGAAGAACACGTCACTGCACGTGAGAGAATGCGGAGAGCCAAGCGGCGGACATAGCAATAGACAGGCGAAAGTATGAACAGGTCTGCACGGTGGCGATGCAGCTTTGAACAAGAAGAAGGCACATGATACACTAGAAGGGACAGTCGGCTCCATCCTGCATACGCACACACGCATACGCGCACACACGCACACGCACACACGCACGTGCCTACATTCACTCACCTTCACACACACACACGCATTCCTACATCCCTACACTCATCACTCACTCACTCACTCACTCACAATCACACACCGCACACACGCAAACAAACTCGCCCACTTTCACTCTTTCTCTCCCACGTCGTTGCTATGGTGCCGTCGTTGATTGCTTGGCTGCAGATGCAAGCAACGGCCACAGCACTGCCTGCCTGCTGAAGAACTCGTCAAGCAGCCGTTGTTCCTCCTGCACCGCGTGCGTCAGCGTACGCTTTGGTGGAGCGTGTACATTAGCAAGGCTCGAGTCAAAGGCGGATTTGGGAAGTCCAAGTAGCCTCGCAAAGGGCCCGGCAAGCAGGCGTGGGTTGTGCACAAAGTCCTCATACTGCAACATCGTCCATTTGCCACACGATAGATGCGGCAGGGCGTTGTTGATGGCGACCAGGCTCTCTGCAACCATGCGGGCCTGGAATTGCGAGTTCTTGTACTTTGACGGGCCGTCCTCCGAACGAAAGCGGCGCACAGCGGATAGGACGGCGTCTGTGGGGTTGCGGTAGAGCACAATGACGCGCAGGTCAAACAGCTTCCCGTCAAGCTTCGCCAGCTGCAGCAGGTCTGGATGTGCCAGACTCCCTGCAAACTGGCCCATGGGATACGAGTTTTGCGCGTCGATGACGGTGGCGCCACGCTGCGCTGCGTGCTCGAAGACCGGACGCATGGCTGCCTCGCGCTCCTCAAGTGAGATGCGCGAGTAGTGGTAGGATGCGTGGTTCTCAACGCCAAGCTGGTGAAACACTTGGTCGTACACGATCAGCTCGAGTGGGACGGAGTCTTCCTTCAGCTTTTCCCAGACAGACAGCAGGGCGTGGTGGCCACTTCCCTCGACACCGGCGACGAAGACAAACTTGGGCAGGGGCTTCTTGGGCGCGGTCATTGGGGTGCAGTACGGACCATCCATGACTACGCGGTTGCGCTGAAATCCTTGCAACTCCACCTCATGCACGTTCTCTGCCCCCACCACGATGTGCTGTGATGACGCATGGCCATGCTTGTGGGCGCGCTGCTTTCGCTGTTTGATTGGATGCATACGTGAGGGCACGTGTAGTGGTGCATGTCAATGAATCAATGAATGAGCTGAAACGAAAGGAGACGAGCCAAGAAGAGGCGCGTTGAGAGGAGGAGACAAGCAGATGGATGGCGCGCAGTCAAAACAACAAGTCGAGAAGGTTTCCAATCGGGCAGGCGCACATACACGAACAAATACATACGTCTCATCACACACACGCACATTAAACATTCACGCACATCGAACATACACGCACACATACACATACACGACCCACACTCTGCACAGGCTGACACTCGGTACGCAAACACGTGCGTCACGTTGTACAGACCTGTGCAGACCATTCTTGAATGCGCTTGTTGACGTCTGCTGCTCGAATTTGAAGCTTGGCCGTATCTCCCTCCAACGCCTCGAGCTGGTTATTGAGGGACTCCAGCTCACGCGCCAACTCGGCCGTCTGCGTGCGCGCGTATTGGATCTTGCCTGCGATCCGCGTTGTCACCAACATGTGGCACGCCAACAAAATGATGAGGCCAACCACGCCATGCAGCACGGCTGCAAACCTCATCTTTGGCACCGTCAGCCGGCTCGTGGCCACCCGCAGCAGCATTTCGCTCGCGCTTATCGCCATGTGCGTTTGAGTGTGTGTGTGTGCGTGCGTTTGAGTGTGTGTATGTGTGTGCGTGTGTGTATGTGTGTGTGTTTGACTGCGTGTTTGACTGTTCTCGCGCGTTGTTGCTGTACAGAAAGGGGTGGGTGCGAAATTTTTGTGGTGTCGTTGACAGTTGTATTTTGCAACGGTCGTTGGTTGGTTGGTGATGTGGGAGGAGGACAACAAGCGCAGCCGCCATGTGCATCGTGGTGTGGCAGCCGCAGACACTGGCACGGATCGCGCTGGAGAGACGGGCGAGACACGGCTCCGTCCATCATCACCTGCTTCACCGTCTTCGTCGTCCACTTCCTCTTCTGTTTCGTCCAGACTGACCTCGCCAATGCGTGCTACAAGAAGCAGTGGCAGGATACCAGCCCACCAGCAATCGCTTCCGGTGAGATGGCGCCCGTGCATGCCGTGCTGCAGCACGGTGCCACCTCTCTGCTGCTTGCGGTGACTGTTGCCGATGGTGGTTAGCGGCCGCAGCTCATCTCGGACACATGGCTACGAGTGGTTGTGGTTGATTGGGCTGCATGCAAGGGGTCTGCCCCTGCACGAGGCAGCCGCAACCAACTCACACTGTGCCGCACACACACACTTACACACACACACACATTCACACACACACACATTCATACACCCGCACACACATTCACACACACACACGCACACACCACAGGGGTCCACTGCTGCCACTGGCGGCGCTGCTTCACTGTTGGAAGGCTCTGAAGGTGAGTGACGTGAGATTGAAGGGCGAAGTTACACCAAGCAGGTGCCTATGCACCGCACCAGCACGCAGCACACCAGCTCCACACAGCTGCTTCAGCACAACCAGATGGGGAGGGGAGGCTGTGCGTACGCCTTCACGCACTCGCTCATTCCGCTAGCATCTGGTTGTTTTGATGACCATTGCAGATCCACTCCGGGACCTGGAAACGCGGCTGGACGAGCTCCTAGAGAAGAACAGGCGCCAGCAGCAGCAAACACGTGTGTTTCGTCTGCATGTACATCTGTGTGCTGCTCGAGCCTTGTGTGATGCCACCGTGTACTTTGTGTTGTTTCCCGTCTCCAAGCACCTCCACCGAAGCCAGTTCGCTCACGAGCCACCATGCACATGCTATGCACTGGTCACGTTGTCGATTACAGGTCAGCGCATGGAGGTGCTGAATGTTCTGGACCGCATGAGAGGCAAGGAAGAGGACGACGACGACGACAACGATGATGATGATGATGATGATGATGATGATGATGATGATGAGGAGGACGACGGTGTTGGTACAGTCGATGGTGATGGTAATGACGATAGGGGCAATATTGGTGGCAGTGGTGAGGGTCAGTTCAGCTGGGAGCACGGGACCACTGGCGCTCCATCGGCCCAGAAGCACAGATCAACTGGCAGGGCAGGCAAGCGCACGCAGCAGCAACGGCACGTGTCACGCATCCCTGTCCTCTCGGAAGAGCTTCAAGGAATGGAAGCGGAAGTGCAAGCAGCCATGGCGGAGATCCAGAAGCAGCTTAAGCAAGGCGTTGACTCGCCCTTGCCCGCCCGGCGCCACCCACGTCAGCACCACCAGCAGCACCAGCACCAGCACCAACAACACCAGCAACAGCAGCGACAACAGCGGAGACAGCCAAGGGTGAGAAGAGAAGATGGAACAGAGGTAGGCAGCGATGCGGCCGAATGGGCCCAAAGAAACAAGGAAGAAGAAGGCAGCAGCGGCGACATGGACACGGTGGCGTCAGATGTGTCCTCCTCGACACAGGCAGCAGGAGGCTGGAGCGATGCTGCCTCGCCAGACCACTCTGCGCAACTGGACAGCACAGCGTCGCACGCCTCCAGCCCGTACAGGCAACCAAGGCAGGCGGGACGATGGGGCGAGGAAGGCGGCAGAGTGGCAGCACGTGACAGCCATCGCGGCACTCAACAGCGACACGGCAACGAAGTGGTGCGCATGGCTGGGAGTGGGAGACAGACTGTGCAGCGGCTGCTCGGACAGGAGCTCTCGCAGGAGAGACAACGTCGCCTACATGCCGAGGCTGTCGTTGAACAGCTGCAACAGCAGGTTGAGGAGGAGCGGGCACGTGTCAGCCACGCCAACTCAAGGTGGGCACCACACAGCCTGTTGTGTAGCTCGTGGTGCACTGCTGACTTGACCATGCACGTGTACGTGCACGGTCGATTGTGACTGTGCATCCTCGGCGGGTCTGGGCCCTTTCAACGCATGCAACCACCACTCTTTGTTTTGTCATCAGCATTGTTGTCTTCATCATCATCATCATCATCATCATGATCATCACCACCGCCACAACCACCACTACCACCCCTGTTCTTGCAGACTGGCAACTGTGATGAACACAATGTCGCGTCTTGAAGGAGTTCTCACCCGGAGCACGCAGAAGAACAAGAGGTGGGCACGCCACATACGGGGTGTGGATATTGTTGTTGAAGTGAATGCAGAGACCATTCGTACACGACAACCGATGCCACTTATCCGCACATGCAATTTTTAACTTCAGTTGTGTGTCCGCCCGTGTGTATGTGTATGTGTGTGCGTGTGCGCGCGTGCGTGCGTGTGTGTGTGTGCGTGTGTGTGCGTGTGTGTGTGCGTGTGTGTGCGTGTATCTGCTTCTGTCTGTCTGTCTGTCCGTCTGTCTGTCTGTTTGTGTCTATGCACAGCCTCCAGGATGTGATCACACAGAAGAACCATCAGATTGATCAAGCTGAGAAGCGCGAGAGACAACACCAGGTTCGTAGGCAATGCCGGCTGCTGGTGTTGTTGGTCAGCCAATGCGCGCGCATGTGTCTGAGGGGTGTGCGTGGGAGTGTGTGCGCGTGTGTTGTGTATGATTATGAGTTGGCTGTATATCGTCATTGTTTCACCCTGTATGACACCCACTGTTTCCTGCATACCCATTCCACGACTGCATGTGGTGCTTCCATTTGGCCGCAGGACAAGATACGAAAGCTGGAGAGGGAGTTGCGTGCACAATCGGATCAGTTCCAGGCACAAGTGAGTGAAGTGGTTAAAATGATGCCTGTCTGTGTGTGTGTGTGCGTGTGTGCGTGCATGCGTGTGTGTGCGTGTGTGTAGGCGTGTTTGCGTGTGTGCGTGTGCGCGTGTTGTTTGTATTGGGGCCATTGCTGCATCATGTGCAACTTTGCTTGTTTGCAAGCTGTTGGTGACACTCACTTCCGCGTGCCGTTGTCCTTTGCGCTCATTGCACCAACATCCATACCGCCTCGACTTGTCACCCCCAGACCAAGACCATCCTTGACTTGAAGGATGCAGTGCAGCGGACAAATCTGCAGCAGCTTGAGCGCGTGCGTGCGGCGGAGATGGAGACATTGTCCGTGCAGAACCAAGCTGAGATGCACCGCCAGGCACTCAAGCAGGCAAACAAGACCATCAAGAAGCTCGAGGTGCGCTGTGCTGCGCTGTCTGTTGTTGTTTGTTTGTGTGTTGCACCTTTCGTGTCTTTTTTTCTTGTCTTTGTTGTTGCATGCTCACCACGACCACAACACTCACCTAACACGCACACATGAATACACGCACACATGGATACACGCACGCACACACCCAACACGCACACATACACATACACGCACACTCACACGCAGGCGACGTTGACTGAGCGGGAGACGGTGCATTCACGCCGAATGGACGGGCTCATTTCCCCACACGGACCAGAGGTGCAGCGTATTGTGAACCAGCGTGAGCGTGAGCTGCAGTCGCATTTTGATGCTCTGCAAAATGCAAAACAGCAGGAGCTGGACGACATTCGCAGGTATACTGTGTGCTGTCTTCTGTTAGCTTGCTTACTTGTTTGTTTGTTCGTTTTGTTCATGTGTGCTATTTTGTTTGTTGTTTGTTCGCTTGCTCGCGTCATGTTGATGATTCTTTGCCAAGGATCACGTGGGCTGTTTGTGATGTTTTCATGCACATCCTCACGTGAAACACGCCCTTGACTTCCGGCGCCCGTCCCTCAACGCGTTGCGTGCGCGGTGGCCATGCTAGCAAGTACCAGGTACTGGAAGGCGAGTACCACACTGCGCTGCGCTACGAGCAGCAGCGCAATTCATCACTTCAGGAGGAATTTGCAAGTACGCAGCAGGACTTGAAGCAGGCGCGCGAAGCACTCGAAGTTGCAAAGGAAGAGGTGTGTATGTGTGTGTGTGTGCGTGTCGCTCGCAAAGGCACAGCAACGGTGTTTCACCTCTCCACCACGAGCCACGCGACGTTTGTCTCGCACCATGTCGCCGTGGTACTCGCTCATGATGACATTCTTCATTCCCTTGTTTCCTTTGCTTGCGTCCGTGTACATGGGTTGCCCTTTGGTGCTTGCTGTTTCTCCCGTTGTGTTGACGTCGACGCAGGCGACGAAGAATGCACAGCTGCTGGAAGAGATGGCAAACGTGATTCGACAGCAGCAGACGCATCTCAAGCAGCAGTCGGTTCGCATCAAAACCATCACTCGAGAGTACGTTGACATGCGCGTTGACAGAAATGGACGGCGATATTTGCCGTGTGTGGTATTGCCCGTGTGCCGTTGCGTACACCCGTGGGAGCACGAAAGTTGGGATTGCCTTGGTGCCACAGTGTGCGCGCGTACTCACGTATGCTTGTGTGTGTGTGTGTGTGTGTGCGCGCGTGCGTGCGTGTGTGTGTGTGTGTGTGTGTGTGTGTGCGTGCGTGTGTGTGCGTGCGTGTGTGTGTGTGTGTGTTCTGCAGGAAGGATCGTCTTGCCCGGCATCTCGCTGAGCAAAAAGAGCAGCGACGCGAGGACCAATCGGCATTTGCATCAAAACTGGACGAGCTCAAGGACGCAAACAACAAGGTGTTTCACTGTGTTATGTGCTGTGCGCATCAGCGTGCAGTGGGACATGTGCTGCCCACTGTGCGCTGTGCGCGATGCGTTCACACGCGCAGACATGTAAATTCATCATGCCTCGCTCTTTCGGCGCCTTTACTCATCTTCTTGACTTTGTGCGTGTGTACGTGCGTACGTGCATGGCCGCTTGTGTGAATATGTGTGCAACGTACGTCTGTGCAGGTTGAGGCGCTTGAAAATGTCATCAGCGGTCTTCGCAAAGAACGCGAACTCTGGTCCCACGAACTTGCAAACCAGGTGCGTGTCAGTGTGTGTATGTGTATGTATGTATGTATGTATGTATGTATGTATGTATGTATGTATGTATGTATGTATGTATGTATGTATGTATGTATGTGTGTGTGTGTATGAATGTATGTGTGTATGTATGTATGTATGTATGTATGTATGTATGTATGTATGTATGTATGTATGTATGTATGTATGTATGTATGTATGTATGCGTGCGCGCGTGTGAATGCATGTAGGTAAGCGTGCTTTTAGTGCACGTGCACATGTGAGCGCTGGTGCCTGTTCCTCACAAGTGTCTGCCTGTTACATCAGGGCGCGAGTTTGGCTGCAGATCGGGGCAAATTGGAAGCGAAGGCGCAACAGATGCAGCAGCGTGTGGAACAGCTTGAAGAGCAGTTGAAGGAACTCAACCAAACACTCGTCGTTAAGGTGTGTGTGTGTGTGTGGGTGCGCGCGCGTACATGTGTGTGTGTGTGCGTACATGTGTGTGCGCATGCGTGGGTACGTGTGGGCATATGTGAGCAAGTGCATTTCTCATTCGCTCAACGTCCTAGTCTGATTCTCGCATGCTCCTCTGACTCACCGTCACCTCAGGACAAAGTGATTGATGATCAGGCAGAGGAACTGAAGGTGTTGCGCGTTCGCGTTGCCGACGCCCAGCGCGAGCTTTCCCGCGTCACAGAACAACACAGGTGAGCAGCAGACGTGTGTATCCGCGTGAGTGTGTGTGTGTGAGTGTATGAGAGAGGCTGTGTGTGTGTGCATGCGTAGATGGGACAGAGAGAGAGAGAGAGAGAGAGAGAGAGAGAGAGAGAGAGAGAGAGAGAGAGAGAGAGAGAGAGAGTGTGTGTGTGTGTGTGTGTGTGTGTGTGTGTGTGCACAGGTGCGTGTGTGTGCGATCGAGCGAGCGAAAGTATGTTGGTGTGAATGCCTTCGTGGCGTTGTATTTTATGGTGTGTTTGACACTTGTGCAATCGTCTGTCATGTCTTACGTTGTATGTGCAGAGAGCGGGAGGCGGATTTGCAAGACCGGCTTGATGTGGAGCGCGAGCTGTCGCAACAGCTTCAGTCTGACTTGGAGGTATGCATGCATGCATGCAAGCAAGTATCGACGCCCTGCGTGAAACCTGATGCGTCATCCAACCAGCATGGCAGCAAGTAGCCATCGTCTTCCATGTACGTGTGCTGCTTTGCGTGTATTGACGCGCGCTATCAAACACATGCACTGCGCCGCCCTGTTTTTCATCCTCAGGCTGCCGTAGGGAAGAAGGCGCGGGTACGCGAAGAGCTGTCTGCATTGTCTGCAGAGAACGACACCCTTCGCAAGGAAAACCAACGGCTCAAGTGCGTGCCTGAGCAGACGTTCTTGCATGGTTCTGTTGTTCCCTCTCAGTGATTACTTTTGAGTGCCGTGTTGCCTCCAAGACATGGTGGGGTGGGCAGGGGGGATGTTAGCTGACCGTCATACTGGTTTCGGACTTGTACAATCCCGCACGCACGTTCATACGCTGCTTTCACATCACAACACAGGTCGAGCTGGGAGGAGACGGGGATGAAGTTGGGGCAGCTGGAATTGGAAGTCCAGAGCATGGAGCGGGTGAGTTGCCTGTACCTGTTTGTGGGTGCACACGGCGTGTGCGATTGCAAGCTCAGCCAGGGGCAGCAGTATCAGCCGGTGTAGTGCCAGCAGCTGGTGGTGGCGGGAACGTTGGGAGAAATCATCGCTTAATCTTTCTTGGCTGGTTTGTTCTGTGTTGATTTGTTCGTTTCGATGGTGTCGTTCCATGCGGTTGTTGTTGCCTGCAGGCATCGCGAAAGCGAGAAGAGAATGCGGTGCGGGAAAAGGAGGAGGCTGAGATGGCGCTGTTGCAGGCGCGCGAAGAGGCAGATGCGGCAAAGGAACAGCACCGGCGTGAGCTTGCACGCATCACCAAGCAGGTATGGATCGCAACAGCAATTGTCTCCGTGAAAGGGGAAGAAGGGCTTGAGTGGTGTGTGATGTTGGAACCTTGCTGACATTGTGAGTACCTTGTGTTACTTTTTTGTGTTGTTGTTGCATTGTTGTATTGCTACATTGTTGCATTGTTTTGCATTGTTTTGCTTTGTATTGTTGTATTGTTTTGTTTTGCATTGCGTTGTTTTGTGCTGACTTGTGATGCCTTTTGTTGTGGTTTGTGAACGCACATGGAATTGCTGCGGCGTTATTGGCATGCACGCTAGCACGAGCAAGTGGTGCAAGTGCTGGATACGACGCGAAAGGAGCTTGAGAGCGCGTATCAAACAATCGAGCAGCAGGCAGCACAGCTACAGGCAGCCGAAGGTTGGCCATGGGCGACTGCTGTGTTGTGTGAATGATGTGACCTCGAACACTTTAGATTGAAGATTTTTCGATTGTTTCCGCGTTTATTTCTTTGCTTCCGTCGTTCCATTGTTTGCGAGCTGTTGCTGCTGTTCCAACCAAACTCACGTTCTTTCACCACTGCCGATGATGACAGCGGAAGCCGAGAAGCGGAGGCGAGTGCACGACGGAAAGATTTCGCAACTGCAGGCGCTGATCCAAGAGCTGAACTCGGATGAGCCCGCGTGATGTGACACGTTGTGGAGCAAAACGATAACCTTGGGAGGGAGAGCCGGGGGGGGGGGAGGAGGGGAGGATCATATCAAGCACTTGTGTGAGTAGTGCACAGAGTTGACCGATCGATCTGGCAGCATGTGTGCTGATGTGATGACACGTGTTTTGATGCGGTGAATGTGATTTGATTTGATGATGTAATGTGATTGCGCTGCTTTACTTGTAGCTACCCAGATAATAACACACGTTCATTCACAGCTGAGATGAAGTTTGGCACAATGAAACAAAGCCACACGCCACAACAAAAGAAGTTAGAGGAACAAGCACTGGGGTGGACCAAGGAGAGGTGCGTGGTCAGCTGCTGGTTGCGCCGTGCTGTCGCAGCAACGGAGACAGGCTCGACAGACTGATCAAGAGTGACTCCTGCATGCAAACAGCAGCGCACGCACACATGTAAAAGCTTAGCCGAGCCAGACAGGTAGTCGGACGCGCAAATCAACACACACACATAGACAAACAGATGGACGGACGGACGGACAGACAAACAGATGGACGGACGGACAGACAGACACAGACACAGACACACACACACACACGCACAAACACACAACGCACCTCTGTTCTAATGTTCCTGGTTCCGGCGTGTTTGCAGGTGTTGATGCGGTGCAAGACACGCTTTTGTGCCTGGCGGCTCTCAACAAACTCATCCAAACCCTCTGCGCCGCCAAATATCACAAGAGCGTGCCTGCAAGCAAAGAAAGCGACCACATACGCACAGACGTGAGGAAAGGCGCGTGGTGTGGTGGAGGACAAAACAACAAAAGAAAACAGGACACCCACGCACGCACGCACACACACACACACACACACACACACACACACACACACACACACATACACACACACATGCATGCGTGCGCTTGCGACGCACTTGAATGATTTCGGCATGGTGACAGCCTCTGGTGCCTTTCCACGCTTGGTTGTGATGCCCATGCAGAGGTCATACCCGGTCTGTACCCGTTCACATAAACAGCCGGGAAAACCGCATGCGCGCGCGCGTGTGTGTGTGCATAGATTTCGTGGTTGAATGTATGTGAGCTCAGACACAATACTGGCCACCGAAAGCAGGCAGCTGGTACGAACACACACACGCATATATACACGCACACACACACACACACACACACACACACACACACACACACACACACACACAAACACAAACACACACACACACACACACAAATACAAAACAAAAATTTGCAAGCAACGCACCTTCCATGGGCACTCTGACAGGACGTCTGCTGCGGACTCTGCGACGCGCACGCTGTATCCCCAGTACATGCCCTTCTGCTCACGCGGAGCTGAAGGGCTCACCGCCTTGCCGCGGAAGGTGTGCACCTCTACACACGCGTATACAGGCAGGAGAGTAGGGCAGGAGTGTTAGCGAGGCAGGGGTGTGGGCGTGTGGGCATGTGCAAACAGGAGCACGCGTAAACCGAACTCACAGCATTGCGCCGGAGACAGCGGCAGTGTAGGCAACTGCAGGGAGAGACATACGATGAAAAGAGCGAACACTGCCTCCAGCCAAAGCAGGGGGCGCTTACGTTTCTTGTGGTACTGCGTGACATCTAGGGCAACAGTGACGCGGACACCGGGAGCAAGATGTCGGTCAATCTTGGCAGGCCGGGTCAAGCCAATGTCCACAAACGAGCCCTGGTGGATGCGAGTGAGTGAGTGAGTGAGTGCGAGTAAGTGAGTGAGTGAGTGAGTGAGTGAGTGAGTGAGTGAGTGAGTGCGTGAGTGAGTGAGTGAGTGAGTGAGTGAGTGAGCGAGTGTGTGAAAGGGGGGGGGGATCATGCACAAGAGCTCATGGGGCAACGGCACTCGCACACCTTGCCAGGCTTAACGTATTTCTTGAGCGTCACTCCCTCCCGAAACGGGCTCGGTGCATCTGCAACCTGTCACATCGTGGGGCGGGGGAAGGGGGAGGAGGCTGTGAGCAAGCGAGAGAGCACACACACGCACACATACACATGCGCACTTGTGTGAGTGAGTGTGCGTGTGTGTGTGTTGTACGCGGATGTGCTGCGTGTTGTTGAGGGATGACAGTGTCAGCAACGCGAAATGTTATGGCCAATGACGCTTACCGTGTGGTGGGGTGCCTCCAGCGGCGGCAGCAAGCTGGCAAACTTCAAATCCCTGTACAAAAGGCAACATGCGTGAGTGGAAACCGAAGGTGCACAACGACAGACAGACAGAGTCAGTCGGACGAGATGGGTTGCCCGTGTACGCGAACCTGTGGATGCCGAAGAAGTGCTTGCGGAGGAACGGCGGGCAGTCGAGATACTCGAGAACACGCGCCAGGAACGCACAGGGGTCGCCTCGCATCTTTCCCGTGCCGTGCTCATTGTGCAGGACAGGAATACCTGGGCCGTCAAACACACAGGAATCAGTGTTAGCATGTGTGTGTGTGTGTGTGTTTGTGCGTTTGTTTTTGTGTGTGTGTTTGTGTGTGTGTGTTTGTGTGTGTGTGTGTGTGTGTGTGTGTGTGTGTGTGTGTGTGTGTGTGTGTGTGTGTGTGCGGCGGTGATTGGGCGACTGCTGAAGCCAACCTTCGGTGACAGTGTTATCCAGGGAGATGGTGGATTCGCGATAGACGACAATTTCATCCACTTGAAACAGGACAGCCGCACGTGCAATCTGAGTTCAGCATCCCACGCAATCAAGGCACGTGGGTTGCAAGGGATAAGTGCCAACCAACAAAGCAACAGCAAAGCAAAGCTGCACAGGCTACACGGTGTGTGTCGTTGTGTTTGTACGGAATAGTGCAAGTGTGCGCCGCCGCGTGATGGTGATGGTGGTGATGGAGGTGCACTACGTTACGTGACATTACCTGGCCCGCGAGATGGGACCGCACTTCTTGCGACTGCACGCCGGCAATCAGTGATCCCGGGATGGCAATGCTCACGGTGTAGTGGCGACCTGGGCCGTGGTCTGAACGCGGAGAAGCGGCAGGGGCTGATGGTGAGTGCTTTGACGTGACCAAAGCTCACCATAGAGTAAGTGAACAAGTCATGCACATCTGTACCTACGAAGGCAGATGCACGCAGACAGACAGACAGACAGACAGACAGACAGACACACACACACACACACACAGACAGACAGACACACACACACAGACACACACATGCACACGCACACACATACAGACGCATGACCTTGCTTGACTTTGGCCTTCTTGCTTGGCAGCCGCTCGTCGCGGGCAGTGGATGATGCTGGTGTTGCAGCCTCTTCCGCTGTGTCCATGACACCCTTTCCCTCAGCTTGGTGCTCCCCGTTTTCTTCCTCTCCTGCTGCTACCGCTGCCTTTCGCTTGGCCTTGACCTTTTCCCTGGCCTCGCGCACGGTGTCCTTGAGCTTCTCAAGCGACGCTTCCGTGTGCCCCTCCAGCTCCTTCACCAGCACGTCAAACGCCTTGTTCCCTTCCAGCTGCACCTCCTCTTCTGCCTCTTCGTCATCGCCGTCACTGCCATCATCATTCTCATCCTCGCCGTCGCTGTTGTCGCTGCCGTTGTTGCTGTCGCTGATGTCGCTGTTGTCGCTGCCGTTGTTGCTGTCGCTGATGTCACTGTCACGATCCCCCTCCACCATCGCCACCTGCTCGACCTCTTCTTCCCTCTCGTCCATCTCGTCGTCCTCCGTGCCACGTGCTCTGCTCATCCCTCGCTTATTCTTCCCTTGTTCTTCTCTTGGTGTACAAAAACAACAGGAAAAACGTGTACGAAGGCAACAACATGGGCGACAAGGATGCAGTGAGCGGCGACAGCAGCAGCAGCAGCTCTGTTGTTGTGGTGGATGTGAACCGCGACAACTTTGGCCCGCTGTGGGCGTGCCTGCATGTGGCCTTGTCGCAGGCGAGCTTTGTGGCGCTGGATTGCGAGCTGTCTGGGCTGGGCGCGCGCGGAGCGATGCGGGCGCGATCCATCCAGCAGCGGTTCGAGCTCATGCGGACGACCGCACAGAGCAGGGCCTTGCTCTCCCTCGGTATCGCGTGCTTCAAGGAGCTGCCACAGGGCCAAGGTTACCAGGTGCAGACCTTCGACATCCTTCTCATCTCAACCCGCGAGTACGTGGTTGAGCCCGGCGCCATTGCCTTCCTGGACCGTCACGGCTTTGACTTCAACAAGCAGGCGCGTTCCGGCCTCCAGTACACGCCAGGCCACCACAAACGACGCAACAGCCAGCGCAGGAAAGCCAGCAATGGTGCAACAGCAGCAACAGCAGCAACAGCAGCGCGCGGGGGCAAAGGCACACCACCCCCGTCGATCCACGACCTGTTCCGTGTGCTGGTGACTAGCAAATGCCCCGTTGTGCTGCACAACGGGCTGCTGGATCTTGTGTTCCTGTATGAGGCCATGTACACGGAGCTGCCGCCACAGCTGGACATGTTCCTCGCCGACGTGTCAGAGTTGTTGCCGGCCATCTACGACACAAAGGTGCTGGCGGAGTACGCCGTGCGGGAGGAGGCGTCGTACCTGGAGTACCTGTTCCACCGCTGCCTTGCACAGCGCGGACCCCAGCTGCCGCTCCGCCCAGCGCCGTTTATGGCAGCGATGGTGCGACGCGGCACGTGGGTGCGCGAGCTCCCCATTCGCGTTGTTCCCGAGGAGGAAGAGGGAGAGCAAGAGGAGAGGGAGGGCACGTGCGATGATGGAAATGGTGCTGGTGCAGGTCGCCGTCTGCGGGCCATCTGCATGCAGTTTGCGGCGCACGGGCACTGCCGCGCAGGCAAGACATGTCCGCACTCCCACGATGTGGTTCGCGTCGTGCAGGAGAAGGTGCTGCAGCCGGCGCCCACAGCAGCATCGAAGCGACGGCAGCGGCGAAAGCGCGCCAAGCTTGAGCGAGAGGCGAAGCAGCAGGCAGGAGACGGTGGCGATGATGATGATTATGATAATGATGATGATGATGATGATGATGATGATGATGGTGATGGTGGTGGTGATGGGACAAGCGGTGGCGCCGAAGAGGTGATGCACACGCCCAGGAAAGGGGAGGAACGAGGCGTCTATCATGCGAACAGCAAGGCCCAGGTTGATGGTCAGCCAGGCAGCGAGCAAGAGACCACCTCTGCAAAGGCAAAGCGAAGCCATGTGCAGAGCCTCACCAGCACCACTCCCGGCAATTCCGGCACTCCCAGCAGTATCAGGAAGGCGGCGAATGCAACAGGTGGCGGCGGCCAGAGCGGAGGGAGAGACTCGCGTGCGCTGGCCAGCAGCCAGGGCCACCGTGCAGGCTATGACGCCTTCATGACCGGGTTTGTGTTTGCGTGTTACAAGCGGCAGTTGAATGACTCCTCGCTTGCGGAGACACGGAACAAGCTCTATCTCTCGGGCAAGCCGCGTCCATTGTGTGTGCACAAGTCCGCATATGCCTCCTTCTCGCCAAACCACCTCGACATCAAGCAGCAGCAGCAGCAGCAGCAGCAGCAGCAGCAGCAGCAGCAGCAGCAGCAGCAGCAGCAGCAGCAGGGGTCTGAAACTGGTGCGAAGAAGGACAGGAGCAAGCCTCAGGCGGGCCCGGTCACAGCATCAGCATCAGCATAGGATCATGTGTCAGGGTGTTTGTGGTGCTGGGTCTCACTCCTTCCCTCGCACTGGTCATTCGTGCTTGGGGTTTGGGTCGAGAACACTGCCTGATGTGCTATGCGAGTATGTGTGTTGTGACGATTGATTACACCTTGAATTGGGTTGAGCGCTCAAGCGCGGGAGTTGAAATACGTCATATCACAGGGCGAAAAGGTGGAGGAGAGATCGGGAGATTGGGGGAGGGGAGGGGAGGGGATGGAGGTGTGTGTGCTTGTGTATGTGTGTGTGTGTGCTTGTGTGTGTGTGTGTGCTTGTGTGTGTGTGTGTGTGTGTGTGTGTGTGTGTGTGTGTGTGTGTGTGTGCGTGGTTGTGTGGTTGTGTGTTTGTGCGTGTGTATGTGTGGGGGGATTCAATTATACGGGCCATGGCCTGGTGTGTTAGGGGATGGCAAGAAGAGAACACTGTCGACATCAAAACCAAAACCAAGCCAGTCGGTAAAGGGCATGCAACACGGTGGTGCGTGACTAGACTCTACATAGTCACATTGCCGAACAAACGCGCTCTGCTGTCTGCTGACACAAGGGCAGGAGGACGGGTACTGAGTCAGCAAAGCTGAAGATGCAAGGCCTGTGCGTGGGCAACAAGGGGAAAGCCACAGCCTATGAAGAGGATGACGAGGGTGGCTTGGGTTCAACCACTTTGTACTCAGGGCGGGGCACACGGGTCTGTTCCCACTTGTCAATGTCCATCTCCGCTTGTAGTCGCTACAAGCACAAGGGAAGCATGGAACACATGTACGAGACGTCGCGGAGGGGAGGGGGTAAGGGAATCATGTGCGACTACATGTGAGCGGAACGTGGAACGAACGCAATCACCTGGTAATATGCTTGTGTTTCACGTGCATATGCGTGTACACAAATGTGCGCGTGCATTCATATGTGTGCGTGTGAACACATGCCATATGTGTTCTTACCATCCACGCGCTGGCATTCATGATTACGTACCCTGAGTTCGCCTTCAATGTTGAACTGCTGTTTGGGCTTGTTCGACAGCTTCTGCACCTCTTGGTCGGTCATCTACATGGAGTGGCCGCGATAACAGGGTCCGGGAGGGGACAAGGAGAAGACGGAGATGATGGTGGTGGCAGTGGAGGGGAGGGGCGAGTGAGCATGGGAGCACGCGTTGACGGGAATATTATAGCAGGCACGGCGTTCACAGCGGCATTCACGGCAGCATTCACGGTAGCAACACTTACGGATCGGGCCTTTTCGTCGCGCATGGTCACCCTCAAGCTCATGAACTCGCGCAGGCCAAGGGATCCTGCGACGACCAGGCCCTGCATATGGAAAGAAGGCAGCACAGAAGATGAAGATAGGCGGTGAGTGGAGGCAACGGGAGTGGTCATCCAAACGTGTGGGAGAAAGGGGCGGGAATGAAGAGTCTTTGCCACACAACATACGTGCGCATCCTCACACACACACACACACACACACACACACACACACACACACACACACACACACACACACACACACACACACACACACACACACACACACACACACACACACACACGCACACACACCCTCACACACCCTCACACACACACAACGCATACCAGCATTGGCAGGCCAAAGCGGAAGAAAGGGTTGGAGAAGCGGCGTGACGACATGGCTGGTTGGTTCTCCGCGTTGCTTCCTGCTTTCGTCTGGGGCGGTTGTTGGCGATTTGTGGGAGATATCGACATTTTTCAGCAACAGACCGGAGGACAGTGACAAAACAACAAGAAGCGAGGTGAGCGAGATGGAGATTGAGAGCAAGCGCGCACGCACCACGACCACGAGAGGTGGTGAGGAGCAACAGACAGCGTTTGATGCAGAGGACCATTCGCATCGGCGATACAACCCTTTGCTGGACGAGTGGTGAGACAGCAAAAGTGGTGTGTGAGTGTGTGTGTGTGTGTTTTTTTTTTGTTCAGGTCGAGGATACAGGCTGATTGATGTCTCCCTGAGTATTGCCGCCTGCAGTTGTGACGCGACCTTCACACAGATCACACACAGATCACACACACTTGTGCTGCGTCGGCGTGTTGCAAGATAACGTACAATGCTCACCACCCACATTTGGCAGGGTGCTGGTGGCACCACATCGCATGAAGCGTCCTTGGAAAGGGCAAGTTGAGGATCCATTTGACTTTGCATCCATCCCTCGCCACGATCCCAAGAACGGGCTGTGCCCCAATACCACTCGTGCGTCTGGCAAGGTGAGGCCCTCGCCTGACCCAGCACTGGTGTGGGGCTTGGCTTACATGCTTGTGTGCGTGCTTGTGTGTGCATGCGTATGTTGGACACCTTCATGCGTATGCATGTGTGTTGGAAGGTCGCTCGTTTGCTGCATCTTTCGGCAGTGCCACCGACGCAACCACGTGTTCCGCATCCGACACTGCCCCTCACAATCACTGCACATGTGGGGGTGCAACGCAGAAAACACCAGACTACACATCCACGTATGTGTTTGTCAACGACTTCCCCACCTTTCGCGACGACCTGCCACAGCCCAGTGAAGAGCAACGCAAACTCAACGACTTGATGCGACTCGAGGGCGTGACTGGTGAATGGTGAGGCCACACGCACGCGCACGCGTTGCGTGTGTGTTGTGTGTGTGTGTGCGCGCATACACTGTGTGCGTGTGTGTGTTTTGTGTACGCTGTGCGCGTATGTGTGCCGTGTCGTCTCCCTCCGCGCGAACGAGTCCTCAGCTCACACGACATCCATGCCTCTGCGTTGCTGACGTACACGCAGCCGCGTCATGTGCTTCCATCCCTTCAGTGACTTGACGCTGCCCCTCATGTCCCTTGAGGTGAGTGGCGCAACAGTGGACTCACGCATCGTTAGCCTGGCGCTCTGGGCGTATCCTGCCGTCAGACGAGCAACGCACCTTGTGCTGATTGTTTGTTGTGATGTACTTCCTGTTGTGTCTTGCGCACGATGACTGTGTATGTGTGTATATGTGTGTATGTGTATGTATGTGTATGTATGTGTATGTATGTGTATGTGTATGTGTGTGTATGTGTATGTGTATGTGTGTGTATGTGTATGTGTGTGTGTATGTGTGTGTATGTGTCTGTGTGTGTATGTGTGTGTGTGTATGTGCTCTGCTGCAGAATATCCGAAAAGTTGTGGATGCGTGGATCGAGCAGCTGCTGGAGCTTGGCGAGAGGTTCAAATGGGTGCAGGTGCGTGCGCTTGCGTTCTTGAGCACCACGGCTGGGTTGTGTGTTGTGTGTGTTGCGTGCATGTGTGTTGTGCCTGTGTCTGTGTGTGTATCTGCGTGTGTGTACGTGCATGCTTGCATTGAAACTGGTCACTGCCTTTGCAATATTTGCTGCGCAAAGCCGTCTCACCTCGCGGTAATGTTTCGGCGCGACCCCCATGGCAGATCTTTGAGAATAAAGGCCAGGCCATGGGCTGTTCCAACCCGCACCCTCACTGCCAGATCTGGGCATCGGGGCACCTTCCCAACGTGGCAGCACGCAAGGTGTGACCACAACCAGTTGCTGAGCGCCAGCATGTGCGTGCAGGTGGGGGGAGGGGAAGGGGAGCTGTTGTTTCTATGCTTAGCGACACATGGGTGCATGTGTGGTGCGTGAGCACGAGCATGGGGGGGGGGGGTGTACGACAGCACAAGCACGCTTTGCTAACCTTTTGGCTCATGTCACAAGCGCCTTGTCCACCTTGCGTGACGTGTCGTGCCTCTGCACACCTCATACACACATACATACACACATACACAAATACATACACACAGAACAAGCACCAGCTAGAGTACTATGAGAAACATGGCACGCCCATGCTACTCGACTATGCACAGCTGGAAGCCAAGCACAAGGAGCGCATTGTGGTTGAGAACGACGATTGGCTCGTTGTTGTTCCGTGGTGGTACGTGTGTATGTGTTGGGCATGTGCGTTTGTGAAGTTGACACGTGTATGTATGTGGCTTCAAGTGTGTCACTTTCTCCATTTCCGTCTGGACCCGCCCTTATTTACTGCTGCTGTTGCTGTTGCTGTTGCTGCTGTTGGGTTGCAGGGCTGTGTGGCCGTATGAGACAATGATTCTGCCTCGTCGCCGGCACATTCTCCGGCTTTGCGACCTGACTGACACGGAACGCGACTGTACGCTGAGGGTTGCGTGCATGCATATGTGTCGTGTGCGTGCATGTGTGCGTGCCTATGTGCGTGTGTGCATTCGGCGCAAGTGTGCAGTGTTGCGCTTTTGCATCGCTCTTGTTCTCGGGCGGCTTGTGCTGGATGTATGGGCATGTCATTCACATGCACGCTATGACGCACATGGTTTTTCCTTGCTTTTATTTAGCTCTGTCATCCGCCATGAAGACACTGTTGACAAAGTACGACAATCTGTTTCAGACCTCGTTTCCATATTCCATGGGATGGCATGGAGCCCCAACAGGTGCGCAGCTGTGTCTATGCGTGCGTGTGTGTGTGCAGTATGTGCCTATGTGGGTGTGGGTGTGCAGTATGTGCGCATGTGGGTGTGGGTGTGTATGTGCGTGCTTGTGTATGTGTGTGTGTGTATGTGTGTGGGTGCTTGTGTGTGTGTGTGTGTGTGCGTGTGTATGGGTGTGGGTATGCGTGCGTGTGTGTGCTTGTATGTGTGTGTGTGTTTGCATGAGACGGTGATGGCTGCATGCTGCTGCTTCGTTCCTTCGCAACAGTGCCCATCACTCCTCATCCAACCGCTCCTCTCCTCCAACAAACCCCACGTTTGCGTGTGAAGGCGGGACGGGGGATGACGAGTGCCAGCACTGGCAGCTGCATGCCATTTATTACCCGCCGTTGTTGCGGTCAGCATCGGTCAAGAAGTTTATGGTTGGCTACGAGATGCATGCCGAGAGCCAGCGGGACCTCACTGCGGAATCGGTGCGTCTCACACTCGACATTATGCGTGCAGCCACCAATGCTGCAGCACCTTTTGCTGGTTCTTCACCTCTGTGAGAAATGTGATCGGAGACCACGCGTGTGCGTGCGCATGCTCTGACCATGAACACGTGTGTCTGCGTGCGCGCAGGGGTCTCTGCGCACACCTACGGGTCTCTGCGTACGCTCCCATTTTGTCACATCATGTCACCTTTGCCTTCTCCACCCTGTGCACCTTTTGGCACCTTTTTTTCTTCTTTTTTTCGGGTGCTTGCTTGGCTGGTTGCAGGCAGCGCGCAGGCTTCGTGCTGTGTCGGACAAACACTACTACACGCCAAAGCTGTGATGACAACAAGGCAGTGGGCACCGCCAAGCAACCAACGGCTGGCACAGCAACAACAACGCCACAAATCTCTGAGACATCCTCGCCACCATCAAGGCTGCTGAAAGCAGTGCACACAGCTGCTGGGGTTCGTCCGGTCTACAGTTTGTGGTGTTGTAGACGGTTCACTTTATGGAGAATTGGTTTTATCTTCATTCATGTTTCTGCAGAATTTATGTTAAAAAATAAAACCCGCACCATCCGCTGGCTGGCCCCCGCCCACCTCTCTCGTTGCCTTTTTTGTTTCGCACCAAGCACCAACCAACAACGCAGGCAGCTCCTGCTTTTTCTTCCAGCTACGCACCACACACAGTCAGCAAGCAACGCAGCCCATCTCAAGCCCAGCCCAGTTCTTGGAGGCAAGAGTAAGTGGCCTGCTGCTGCTGCTGCTGCACATGCGAGCGAGCTAGCTAGCGCCTGTGTGGCGTGCGTTGATGCGCGTGCGTTGATGCGCGAGTGTTGTGTGTGTGTGTGTGTGTGTGGAAGAGCGAATACTACTAAGCCCAGCCGAGCCCAGCCGAGATCACAAGCAATCATTGCCCCAGCAGCAACAACAAAAAGCAGCAGCAGCAGCAGCGACAGTGCTTTGCTTGCTTCTCATTGGAGTGTTCTCGACTTGTTCATCCATGTGCATCTTGTGCGCTCCCCTCGCGCGTGTGTGCCTGTGTGCTCTGACAGGAAGCAGCAAGCAAGTGAAGAAAGGAAGGACCCCCCCCCCTTTCGTCTGTAGCCAGTCCCAGAGGGAGAGCGGGGATCACCTGAGCCAACGTTGCTCACATCAAGCTCTCTCATCACTGCCTGCACACCACCTCAAGCCGCGATTGGCCTTTCGTGGCAGCGGTGATCCTCCTCGTCATTGGTGTGGACTCAGCCCATCCAGACGCACAGTCCCGTACTGCTCAAACCTACCAG